GATTAAGGTGTTACAAGAATATTTTTCGATTATACTATAACCTTTTACAACAGTAAATTGATTCCCACCATAGGCCCAGGCAACCACTTAGCCATATGAGCAACCATAATCTTAGTAACACACTTATACAAGACCTGACAACAAGAGATATGCATATATTCTTTACACAACTAGAATTAGTTTTCTTCGGCACAAGAGCAATTGTGGTGGCATTGAACCCCTTCAAAAGAGCAAGTGACCGAAAGTAGTGGATAAAAGACTCACTCATTCCTCTCCCATAATATTTTATGCCCTTTGGAAGAAACAAGACGTGTACCCATCCGGACATGGTACTTGCTTACCATTCAGTGAAAACATAGTAGCCTTAACCTCACCCCTTGTTACCTCCCTTCCAAGATCCTTTCGCCTTATCAACAAGGTCATCCCCTACTAACTCCTTTAATAAAACAACCGTAGGAACAACAATCAAGTTATCCTTAATGCCCAACTGCTTCTGAAAAATGAATTTTTTTCTCATACAACTGTTGCTTAGTTTTCAGCTTGAATCCTATTATTTTTTATAAAAAACCTTGATCAAGTCCTAAAAGAGATTTATACTCTCATTGGCCACCAAAATATATTTATACTCTGTAAGCAAATGACATTCCTTGGTCATATCCTCCTTAGTAGCCAACCACCCAAATTAATAGTTAAAGAACCTAAGTGGATTATGAATGGAAGACTCAACGTTCTTCGAAGAAATAAGCATCAAACAATGATCTTAAACCTCTGGAGCCAGGAACTCCACAAAAGAATGAGGAAACCTAAGATACCAAGGACATCATTACTATATCAAGTTTAATATACAAAGGCTTACCCACCTAATGGTTCGACCAAATAAACAAAGGCCTCGTAAAAGAATGATAATGAATATCCAACAAATTAATACAATCTGGAAAGTGTTGCATATCCCTAGACATATGCATGTCTCTGTTAAAATTAAAGCTCTCCTGAAGATTTAACACAACGTTAAAATCTCCAGCCAAGAACCAAAGAACATCCCTCACCTACAACTCCTACAAAGGACTCCATAAATGCCTTCGACTAATGCCATCAGTGAAACTATAGATAGTCCTAAAAAAACTCAGAATCATCATTGCAACCATATAATAGGATTTTTATTTTAACAAAATAATGATTACTTTTATATGTGATTAATTTTAACAATTTTTTTGTTGAATCTACACATATATGCATATTGTTCACCTAAATTCTCAAACATAATTCATCAACAAGAAATTTTGTAAATGTAAAATATGATGACTCGTCTACTTAATCTTATTCCTTTCACTCATTTACTTTTTCCTTTTGTATTTTCCAATTGTTTTCATCATATTTTTCAAAATAATTATTCTATATATGATCATAGAAATTTTTAGGGTTCGTTTGATACTACAAAATATATGTTATTTTTATTTTCTTAGAAAATAAAAAATGTTGGAGAAAATGTGTGTTTGTGTTGTTGTAAAATTAGAAAATGGTTTTTGGAAAATGAAAACAAAAATAAGTGAAAATATGAAAATATAAAAAGTTGTTTTCAACATTTTCATTAAAATTATTTTGGAAATTTAAAAATGGGAAGCACAAGATCTAAAATTTTAACTTAACTTACATAGGTTCAAATCCTTCTAAAAATATTTTTTTATAATGGGTATAAAAAACCCTCAAACTTTTACAAAAAAAAAAAATCAACGTGGTCCCTAAATTTTTGTATTTTCAATGAGGTCCTTAAACTAAATTTTTTAATAATTTAAATTTTTTTGTATTTTTATATTTAATGTATTAAATATCTTAATAATTGTTTATGTCTTATATTTTATATTTTAATACTTTTTATTTTAAAAAAATTAAATAAGCCCTCAAACTTTCTAAAAAAATCAATTAGAACCTTGCACTTAGCTAAAAAATTAATTAAATCAATCTATCACATCATCATCCATCTTGTATTATCACAACAACATCGTGAATTGCCACAACTAAATATATTTTTTATTTTAATGACACTTTTGTGTGTCTTGCTAACAACAATTTTTTTGTGTATTTTTAATGTAATTAATGTCCAATATGCATTAACATTATATTTTTATTATAGATTAAAATGATTTTTATTTGTGAAATTTCTTATCAATTTTATTATTTTATATTTATAACTCACATGTTCAATTTGTGTAATGAAATAATTATTTATTCATCTATATTTTTAAAAATTAGATAAAAATATATATTTCACTATTTTTATTTCCGAATTCAAATTTTCATTTATATTAACCAAACATATTTTTTAATTTAAAAAAACTGAAAATGAAAATTATTTTCTAAATAAATAAATAACAGAAACAAAAAATATTTTCAAAAAATAAACGGACACTTATTGTTTCACAAATTATCTTACTAATTTATTGATTATTTATTTAAATATCATTTAAGAATATTTAATGATAAAATAAAATAAACTAAGCCGCTAATAATTCTATTTTTCATATATTTTTATTTATACTCAATGCTCGTTTTTGGAAAAATAAAAAGGTTGTTGGCAATAGTCAACAAACTAAGTATTTGGTTTGTAAGATTAATATGCAAGAACAAACTATTTGATCGTATACGATAAGTTAAGAAAGCACATCCATTATTCAATAATATTTATTTAATTTTTAATAAAATGATATTGAGAATTATTATGTATCATTAATTGATATTTTAAAAAAATGATTATATTTTAATTTTTGGGAAATTAAAAAATTCTACTACTTATCTACATATAATAATCCTTGTCTAATTATGATCTAGCTAGAAAAAAATCTTTTTATCTAATAAAGTATTTCATTAAATTCAGTGAAAATAATTTAAAAGAAATTATAATTAATAAAAAAAATTATAATATGAAATGATTACAATATAACATCAGCTAAATTTTTTAACAGTTAATAATGTATACACATCCTACAAATACAACTATTCGAATTTAAGATCTTTAAAGAGAACAAAATTCTCTTTAACCACTGAGATCACTTGATGTGTTCATTAGATTCTTTGTAATATAAGTCTTTCTACAAAGTTTTCTATTATTTAAATCCCTTCCCACACATAAATCATATGATATTGAATATCTAAACATATTTAATTTTACGTATTTTTATATAATATTTCAATAATATATCTGTCGACCTAAACTCAATCAATTATTTATCTAAAATCAAATGAATTCACCATTAAGGATGTGATATTCAAAATACATTAGTATTAAAGGCAATAATTCTCACGTGCATGTGATATATTCAAGACATAAATTAAGCTTACCTAGGCCTCAATCATAATCCATTTTTAGTTTATTTATTGAAAGAAGCATTTCGATAAAAAGAATGTGTCGAGTTATGTTATATAAATTTTTGGGTTAAGTACACAAATGGTCCTCTGACTATAGGGTATTGTTTTATTAAGTCTCTCGACTATTAAAGTTACAATACGGTCCTTTGACTATACAATATTGCTTTGTTGAGTCCCTCGACTATTAAAAGTTACAAAATGGTCACCCGACTATTTATTACGTTTCAAATATGTTCTTTTCTATTAGAAATTAACGGTATTCTCAGCTGAAAGTTAACATACTACTGTGATATGATAAAATTTGATCCCAGAATCTCAAACGACTATCATATCTCAGTGGTCATATTAACGTCGAGCTTAGACGACCACCAATGTTTTAACAGAAAATGACGAGTTTGAAATATAATGAATAGTTGGAGGACTATTTTGTAACTTTAATAGTTGAAGGACTTAATAAATCAACATTCTATAGTCGAAGGACTTTTTTATAACTTTTAATGGTCGGCGAACTTAATAAAGTAGTATCATATAGTCGAGGGATCATTTATGTACTTTACCGTAATTTTTTTTTATATTTTTAAGTTTAGTTCAATTAGATCATTAAGTTTCGATTTCAAATTCATAACCACTTCAATCTATTTCAACAGTGACGAAGTTAGGGTTTGGACTTGAGTCCCTTGATTAAATGGGAGAATTGTATCTTTAATTATTTTAAAAAATAAAAGATGGATTTAAACTTTTTTAGTCGTTGGTTGATTGAAATTTTTACATTTTGATCACTTTTAAAAACAATAATTCAATTATATCCATTTTGATACATTTTTACTTTTAGTCCTTGCAAAATTTAATATTTATATCTCGATCCCTCACCAAAAATACCTAAACTACCTACAACTTTCAAGCCTAAACTATCTATAATCATAGATTGACCTCTAAACTAGGAATAATTGCACTTAAAGACATTGATTTACTAAATGTTAACAATCACAACCTCAAGTAAACTAACCCTAAATCAGCAAGGTGAGAAGAGTAATAGAAATTGAAGGTAAGGGGAGATGAAAAAATAATGAAGTTTGGTAGCCGTTATTCGTTGCACCAAACAATAAATCTCTTCTCTAAGAGAAAAAAATATTAAAGCTTTGAAGACCAAATTCTCTCTCTCTCTCTCTCTCTCTCTCTCACACACACAATAGCATTTACAGCTTACCTCCCCCACCCATTAAATGCAATTGCACCCTCGCAATACGCTCTGCAATAATAACCCTCTTCTTCTTCTTCTTTGTTTCTCCATCTTCTTCTTCTTGATATCTGTCACTTTCTTGCTTGTCCTAAGCACCTACTTCTTACGCCATTAAAGCTCGAGTCCGAAACAGCTCGTTCTATACCTCTTTCTGAGCACCCTTTAGTTGTTTACAGGCAATCGACTCCTTTCTAGAACAGATCCCAAATCCCTTGTCTTGTTTCTGGGGGGAGCTTTTTAGGGTTCTCTGGTAGGTCAATAAGGTAACCTGCAAGATCGAAACTTGAGTTTAAACTTAGTTATATAGATATTAGCACTCAAGAATCAGATGTTGTTCAAGGGTAAATAAAGCTAAAAGAGAAACCCGGGTCAACTTTCGTTCTCTCACATTTAGAGAATCGGAAGAGTCAAATCAAATTATCGAAGAAGACGAAAAAGCTATCTCTCTCTCTCTCTCTCTCTCTCTCTCTATATATATATATATATATATATATATATGAATAGATATCGTTTGGGGCTTTTGAGCTTCTGAAATATGCCGGTCGGAGTAATGATTCCGGCGAGAAACCTTCCGTCGATGATCAGTGGGAACGGGAATGTTGTTGGTTTTGGATCAATCTCAGCACTTACCCTTGGTCAGGTTAGAAATTGAGTTTTATAATCTTGTTTTGATTTTTATGATCAATTTGTTACCCAGATTTTTACCAATTTTTTCACACTCTTTGACCTTCATAGATTAATGGGTCTTTTCTCAAATTTCCATTTCTTCAAATACTCTAAAGCTAAAACAACAGATCTCTCTCTCCTTATACAGTGTTTGGAACTCGAGTAAATGCGTTTTGTAAAGTAATTTTGGTCTTTGTTAGGGTCTTATTTGACTCTTCGAAGCAAAATCCTTCTCGATATTTGAGAAACGTGTATTATTTAGTCAAACTACTATAAATCCCAACACTCAAATGGTTTTCATGGGGTTTGCTTGTTCATTTTGGCGTAGTGGAAAACAAATTTTCCATTAAAACCATAAGCTTTGGAATCTTAAAGATCTGTAGATATAATGTTCCAGCAGCCTAACAACAACATGATGGAAGGTCAACTTCACCCTTTTGAGATGACCCAAAACACTTCGGAAAGTGAAATTGCCCGATTGAGAGACGAAGAATTCGACAGTACGATCAAATCCGGCAGCGAGAATCATGAAGGTATCTATGGGGACGACGATCAAGATCCTAGACCCAACAAAAAGAAGCGTTACCATCGACATACCCAGCACCAGATTCAAGAAATGGAGGCGTAAGCTTAAAAAAAAACCCCATTTGATTTCAACATTTTAATTCAATAAAGAAGCTTATTGTTTGGTAAATTTGTGTTCATTGGGTTTTAGGTTTTTCATTGAGTGCCCTCACCCAGATGACAAGCAAAGGAAGGAACTTGGGCGTGTGTTAGGGTTAGAGCCTTTGCAAGTGAAGTTTTGGTTCCAAAACAAACGCACCCAGATGAAGGTTTTTCTTTAATCTTCTAACCGACCTAGCTTAGCTCATTTATTGTGTTTAAACGTCTGTGTTTCATCTTCTACAGACCCAGCATGAACGCCAAGAGAACTCTCAGCTTCGAGCTGAGAACGAAAAGCTTAGGGCTGATAATATGAGATATAGGGAAGCTCTTAGCACAGCTTCATGCCCTAATTGTGGAGGTCCTACTGCAGTAGGACAAATGTCCTTTGATGAACATCATCTCCGACTTGAAAATGCTCGATTAAGAGAAGAGGTACTATCAAGTTATTGGTGTATAAATATGTGTTTGTGTGTGTTTGTATGTATTCGTAATGGTAATGGTTCTTGAGTACCATTGTAGATTGATCGTATATCAGCAATAGCTGCAAAGTACGTTGGGAAACCAGTGGTGAGCTATCCTCTTCTTTCTTCTCCCATGACTCCTCCTCGACTACTCGAATTCAGTTCACAAGCCGGCTCCGGGGAGATGTACAGTGGCGGGGAACTTCTTCGGTCGATAAATGCACCGGCCGAGGCCGATAAGCCGATGATTATCGAGCTCACGGTTGCAGCTATGGAGGAACTCGTTAGAATGGCTCAAATGGGTGAGCCCTTATGGATGGCTAGTCTTGATGGCTCAACCTCTGTGCTTAATGAAGAAGAGTATAATAGAACTTTTCCTAGGGGAATGGGACCGAAGCCTACCAGCTTCAAGTGTGAAGCTTCGAAAGAAACTTGCGTTGTAATCATGAATCACATTAGCCTCGTCGAGATTCTCATGGATGTGGTAAGATCTTTATGATAATACGCCATTAAAAGGGAGTGTTAGCTCTTTTTTTAGAACTAATTTATGGGTTTTCGAATTGGAATTCAGCACCAGTGGCAAACTGTGTTTGCTGCCATAGTTTCAAAGGCTTCCACTTTGGATGTTCTATCAACAGGGATTGCAGGGAATTATAATGGAGCTCTTCAAGTGGTAAGTATTCAATATTAACTTTCCCAATTTGCTAATTTACTCCATTTTTTTTTCATTTAAATTTCTATGATGTTTAATTTCACAGATGACAGCTGAATTCCAAGTTCCTTCACCACTTGTTCCAACTCGTGAGATTTATTACGTAAGATACTGCAAACAACATGCAGAAGGAACATGGGCTGTGGTTGATGTTTCATTGGATCATTTACGCCCTAATCCGACGGTGAGATGCCGACGAAGACCATCTGGATGCTTGATTCAAGAAATGCCCAACGGGTACTCAAAGGTTACGTGGATCGAACATGTCGAAGTCGACGATAGAGGTGTCCACAATCTGTACAAGCAGCTCGTAAGTTCCGGCCATGCTTTCGGAGCCCGACGTTGGATTGCTACATTGGAGCGACAATGCGAGAGGCTCGCAAGTTTCATGGCTACTAACATTCCAACTGTTGATGCTGGGGGTAACGCTAATCATATAATTCTACAACCAAATATTTAAAATCTCTATGAATAAGTATAAATATTGAGTGCTAGTTCTTAATGGTATGATATTTGGTTAGTGATAACAAATCAAGATGGGAGGAAGAGCATGCTGAAGCTAGCTGAGCGTATGGTGATCAGTTTCTGTGCTGGAGTGAGTGCCTCAACCGCTCACACATGGACCACTTTATCGGGAACCGGGGCCGATGATGTAAGGGTAATGACCCGAAAGAGTGTTGATGATCCCGGCAGACCTCCCGGGATTGTGCTGAGTGCTGCAACTTCCTTCTGGCTTCCTGTTCCGCCGAAGAGGGTATTCGATTTCCTCAGAGATGAGAATTCTAGAAATGAGGTACTACAATGCTTTTAAAAGAGCTTTATATATGATTTTGTATATATTACATGTTGTGGTCTCTCCTGGATGCAGTGGGATATTCTTTCTAATGGTGGAGTTGTCCAAGAAATGGCGCACATTGCTAACGGCAGAGATACAGGCAATTGTGTTTCACTACTTCGAGTCAATGTACGTCGATTTCTCGATTAAATTTATCGGTAATTTAGGTATTTTAACTCGGAATATTATACATTAATCTTCAAAATGTATGGAATAATTAAATGCAGAGTGCAAATTCAAGCCAAACCAACATGCTGATTCTACAAGAGAGTTGCACTGATGCAACAGCTTCGTTTGTAATCTATGCTCCGGTCGACATTGTCGCAATGAATGTGGTTTTAAACGGTGGCGACCCAGACTATGTTGCTCTTCTTCCATCCGGTTTCGCTATCCTCCCCGATGGAACCTCTGGCATGACGGATGCCGTTAGTGGCTCCGGTGGATCTCTTCTAACTGTTGCATTTCAGATTTTGGTGGACTCGGTACCTACGGCAAAACTCTCTCTCGGATCTGTTGCAACAGTTAACAACTTGATCGCTTGCACCGTCGAAAGGATAAAGGCTTCTCTTCCATGCGAGAATGCATGAACTAGCTCAAGCTTTATAATTTAGATAGCAAGGTATGTTAACTCAAAAGTACGACCAGTTCACTGTCCATATTCAATGCGAAAATTCGAGATATCTAATATTATTTGATTTTGTCTTTCTTCTCTTTTCTTTTTGATGCAGTTGAGTAACAGAAGGAAAAAGGGGGAATGTACTTAAATTTAAGAAGAATTTTGGAACTATAGAAGATGGGGGAGAAGTCAAGAGCGCACCTTGCAGAACGTTTTGTTTGGTTGCCTAGAAAATTAAGCTGACCTAAGCAAAATTCATCAAGTGTTCAAGAGTTAGAGGTTCGGGAATTGACTTCCCCAAGAAAAAAATATATTATTTTCGTAAATGAGTGCAAGACTTTTACGTGTTTTAATTACAAGTAAACAAGGATTGTAGTTCCCCTTTATTCCTTTGTGTCTTGTAATTTTCTAGCAGACAATTCCTTTTCTTTTAGCCGATCCTTTTTCAATGGATATTTGCTTCTAAATTATCCCTACTCTCTTTGTTTCCTTTCTATCTATATTTCAACGCCTTATATAGATTTGTCATCTGAATTAACTGATAAAATGTTATTCTCTTGATAGATTTCAGATTTGAATAACTATATTCGTAAGATATGCGCATTAATAATTAATTTTCTTTGAACAAATATTAGGTTTTTAATCACTAAAAGACGGTTAAATTCCTCTACGAAGATTCTTAAAGCACCCATCTTTGATATGTTAGTATCATAATAATTATTGCACAATGATAATGTTTCCAACACATAAATGCAAAGATGGATTCAGATATATACAATTGTTTTCCTGCAAAAACATGAAAATAAAATTAATGGAACATGATATTTATGTTGTTTTCGACATAAATACAACTCTCTAAATATTAAGTACTTGTTTTTGGTTCATCGCTTCATTATTTGTTGACATTTCCAACGACCAAAAACATTGATATATCTCATTGTTTTGTCCCACGATATATTAAGTTAATTGTGCTTGTTTGATTATCCAAGTAAAAATCTGCATAAGTACCTTTAATAACCTCACAAGTTTATATTAAATGAATGATTTCAATATTCCCTATTCTAAAATATAGAAAACTTGTAGACCTTGTGTTTGTCTATTCTCTCTTTCAACATTTTCAAACGTAAACACACAATTTATGAATAAGATTAGTGCCCATAATAGTAACGAGATTAAAGTTGGATGTCAAATTAAAACTTTTCAAGTTTAGTGACTAAAATATAAATATGATAAAAGTTGAGTTCTAAGATTTATAGTTTACCCGTTAATATTTGATAATTTGATTAGTAGTTGGTGAAGACTGAATGATCGATTATGACTAAAATTAATCAGGAAAAATCCGCCAAAATTTACGAAACGAATATTGAATTTATTTGTTTTTTAAATGGTTTTCAAATTTGGGGTACGTATTTTTTTTTCTTTATTTGGTGAACCTTTCAATAAAAATAATTTCTTGGTCTCGGTAGCTTAATCAGTCAGTAGTCGAGAGGGAGATGTTAACAGTAAAAAGTAATTAAAATAATTAATTTTTTAGAGTTTGTATTGAATAAATTGTAAATATTTAAATTTAAAATCTATATTCATTTGCACGAACCAACTTACCTCAGTGGTTTAAGAAATTGTTGTTGTTTTTATAGATCACGAGTTCGACCACTAGCGGCAGTAACATGATGATTGAGCGTTCATTATTTAATGGTTGAGATTATTCATTTATTATGATAATGAATAATTTATTGAGATGATACCGTATATTAATCCATATTGAATTAATACAAACAATATTTAATAATTTAATTGCTAAAATATTAATCGAAATTATTTTCAATGAAAACATATAAGATTTGTGGAAGTTTTTTCTTAGAAAAATTATTTGACTTTAGTATTTCAAGTTCAATTAATTTTATCGTGTAAATTGGATTGATCCTAGATTTATTAAAAGAAATTATTTCACAATTATAATTTAGAAAAGAGAAATGAAAAAAAAAGACAGTGCATTCTCTCAAGTAAACCTTATTATTTTAAATTTGATACAGAAGGTAAAACATTGTCAACATGACAAAGGAACGCTTACAGATATCAATAGATTGATGATACATATGTAAATTTTGTACTTGGAAATTTCAATCCTTATTGAGCTTGCCTTGTCTACATAGACATAAACAGAGTAAAATCCCAGCTCCCACGCTATTGTTTCACCCAAGAAGATGACCATCTTTTCTACGTCGATTCAATCTCATAATGAGACGGACACTGATTTTATATTAAGGAGACGAAAATAGATAGTTTAATGAAAATTATTAAGAAAATATTTAACATATATCAGGGGTCGACTGTCCGATACGCCTTGGTCTGCTCTTGTCCTCAAACTCTCTTTTTCAAAGCCGACGTCAGTCCGTTGGCAAAGGAGGCCTTGGTCGACGGCAAAAGCAGCCCTCGCAACACGGCGAGGAACCCGAGTGCGATGAAAGGCGAGTACATCATGGCTAGTTTATCGGCCATAGGCTTCTGGGATCCAAGCATGTCTCCCACCATAGCCGTCTGAGAATTTCAGCAGAGTGGAACAAATTGTAATTAGTAGAATTGAGGTTTTAAAAACCAAAGCATCCATCGACAAGGGTTGGTTCAAGTGGTGAGCAGCTTGATATCAGTTAAGCAAAATTTTAAGTTTGAGCTATTGTGTATACAAAAAATCCCTACCAAAAGACTCCCTCACCAAAATTAAATGTGCGACGCAGATCAGTCCGGATTAATCAAGACGAAGCCTTGGAACTGGGAGTATACCCCACAAAAAAACCAAAGGATCCAAAGAGTTAGAGATTAATTTACCGTGGAGGTAAGAAGAGCGGAACCGAAGATGAGGCAGGTGGACTTGAACCAAGGCTTGGAGTTCAACAACCCATAAAGGTTGATGACAGCGAGCGGCCAAGTGAAAACAAGCTCGAGCTTCATGAGTGCCATGAAAAAAGCAGGCTGCTCCAGCAGCAAATAATCTTGGTGCTCCACCGTGTACCATTTGTACAGACGAACTAGGACGTCCGGCACGACAGACTCCGGCAAAAGAGCTTGGGCGTCCAACAACGGTGGAACCAGCGACATGGACAAGAATGTTAGCAACAGAATCACATCCACCACTTTACCTATGAATCCCATCTTTCTTCTTTTTCCAGCTGTGCTGATCGACTCCTCTTGCTTCTCCTGGTTTCATGTATTAATAATTTGATTTGCCGAAGAGTGCCATGTTTGACGAGACCAATAAAAAAAAAAACATTGACATATGTGGGGATTCTCTTCCTTTTTCGGCGATGCCGTTTCAATCAAAATACTCGCCAATTTTGATTTCTTGCTCCTACTTCTGACTTCTGCAAAATTATTGTTATTTTTTCAATCAAATTTAATTACTAATCGTTTACAATAAATTAATTTATTTTTTAACCAAAAATAGTAGTAACTAAATATAGATTGTTTATTTATACAAAAAATATAGATTGTTTATGACTTTGAAGTGACAACTCTCGTTATAATTTATATATGACACCATTTATTTTATATGACATATTAATCAATAAATTAAAATTATAAAAATATCAATATAAATTACACGAAGTATACATGGATTATTATCGATAGTGACAAATCCAAGATTTTAATTTGGGAGAAATAAAGTATGACTTTTTAAAAAGTAAGAAGAACAATTTTATAATTATATCATAAATCTTTAAATTTTATATATAAACTAAATGTAAAAAAAAGTTTGTCAAACTGGGGGTCACCGGTCACAGCCCTCCTCTATACTTAAGGGTTGTTTGATTTAAAGAATGTGGGATTCCCATGAGAATGAAATCCACATTCCCATGTTTGGTTGGTCGGAAATCTCATTCCCGGTAATGTTTTATTACCAATAGTATATTGGTTGGGGTATATTACCGGAAATGTCATTACCTCCATTTCCTTAGATATTATTGGATTACCAGCGTTTTGGACTAAAATGCATTTAAAAAAAAATTTCTTCAAAAATATTCTTCTTCTATCATTGAATAATAAAAATTCTACGAAAGTTAAATTACATGGTTAAATTACAAATTTATCCTTAAACTATTTTAGATTTACAAAAAAAGTCTATAATTAAAATTTTATATGAAGTTCATGGGTTAAAATAAAATTTTACCCTTTCATTAATGCTTTTTATATTTTCAATTTTGTAAAAAATATATATATAAATTTTATGAATTTAATTTTTTAAAAGAAAATATATAAATATTTTTCAACTTGTTAAAAAAACAAATATTTAATAAGGACAATTTGGTCAAATATACATTCCAATAATCTTTTATTCCTTTAACAAAATACGGTAATCTTACATTCCTGCTAAACCAACCAAATACAAAATACAACATTCCCAGTAATCCTATTCCCTGGTAATCTTACATTACGTGAACCAAACACACCCTAATAGATCTGTCTCTGATTGCGAGAGATGTTTTGACAGATTTTTTTCTTAAATTTTTATTTAAATTTCAATTTTTTCAATTAAGACAATTGAGTAATTGAATAGCATCGAAAGGGTAATTTGAGGGTGTTCATCCTTCATCGATTGTAAACGACTCTCGAATCTGACAAACTACTAGTAAGATGCAGATATGATAAATGATAAGTTCAAGGTGCCTAATCCACATAATTCGAAAGAGAACGGTGACGACTTTATCACATATCCCAAGTTGAAGCACGAATCTAGGACCACCCAAAGGACCGTTGTGACAGATATCAATATTGAATGGTGGGTATCAATATTAAAAGACATAGTATAGATACCATTGTATTGAATTAGGCTAGAAACCCAACTTTAGCTTAAGGACTTGAGAAGGGGGTCTAGGACCACTAGAACTTCTCCAATAAACCCACAAGTAAGAACATCTAATGAATACAATAAAAACTTAAAAATTTTATGTAGTAAGATTCCATAAGACTTGCACTTGTGTGACGCCCGGGAAACAGTTAGGTCACCCGATTTACTCGTGTACACTGATAACATTCTAAAGAAGGAATGAGCTAGATGGAAGCGAGTGAAGATCAAATGAACTTACAAGTGAGAACATCTAATGAATACAACAAAAGCTTAAGAATCTTATGTAGTAAGATTCCATAAGACCTGTTCTTGTGTGACGCTTGGGAAACAACCAAGTCACCCGAGTTACTTGTGTATGTCGATAACGTTCTAAAGAAGGAAGAAGCGAGATAAAAAGCGAGTGAGGGGATGACTTCCCCTGGTTATGTTGAGTTATGATAGCGAGTGGTCGAACTACCATGTTTGCTCTTGTGTAGCATTGATTGATATGTGTGACCTATGGGAACCCAAGCATAGTTGTGTACATGATGATTGTTTTATTTGCTAGAAATATCCGAATATATCAAAGTCAGTGTCAAGGCACTTAAAATGCTAGTTGGGCATAGACTCTGATATTATGTGATCCCAAAGACGTCTCAAATACTACGGAGGAGTAGATTAGTAGGACGTTGGCTCTGATACTATACGACCCTAGAGACATCCTATGTTCTAGGTCACGAGGGAAGAACTCGGAGGAAAATATTCTAGAAAATCACCTTAATTTTGCTCTAAATTAACTGTTAACATAGATAAAATAATCACTGCAAAATTACAAAAACAACTCAGACAATGACTGGAAATCAACAATCAACAAAACGCTCTAATAATTTTGATAACAAACTCTTAAATCACTAAAACGTTAAAACTAAAAGTAATATATAAATATGAGAGAAATTATTCCATTTGAGTTTGAAAATTTTGGTAAAACACCTTGATTAAAAAAAAAGATTATATACGTGTTATACGCATCAAAGACACGTAATTATCACAAACTATAAATTGGTTGAATGGGCGACGACAATGCAACGTGCGCGTGCTAAGAACATATCCACCAATGATCAACAAATAATGGAGAAAAGGATAGTATGTAAACTACTGCCAAACCCTTTTTTTTCTTGGTTATGAGATTCTCTCTTTGCATTTAACATTCCCCCACAATTGCTCAAGGATTTTATAAAGATAATTGAGAACAAATTTTAAGATAAAAAGTGAGAAGAGCAATAGAGAAATCAATCACTTAAGTACTAATGAACGTTTCTAGAATCAATATACAGTGAAATGAGTGATTCTTTTCTTAAAATAATGAATAAATTTGAAAAATGTTAAGATAAGAGTAACCGTAACAATCAACGTTATTCAAAGAGTGATTGATGCTATTAAATAAGTTTAAAGATAAATTTGATACAAGTAAAATGTACAGATAAAACTATTGATTCAAATTCAAATTATCCCTTGGACCTTAAAGAGATGTGTTTTATGAACTTTGATTGGGTATAATTGTATACATAAAGTTTTAATTTGATTTATGTTTTTACAAATCACTAAACCCATTAACGTTATAACAACATTTTGTCACTTTGTTTTTACACATTGCATACATAAATAATTATATTTATACAACATTAAATTAAATGAATACATTTAATCTTTAAAATCTATACAATTAAATCAAAATTTTATATATACAATTGAACTATATTAATGTTTCACATGGATAATTACACTAAATCGAAATTAGTGTATTGCATTACACGTTTCATCAGAGTTAATGTGTAATTTCTTTACAAAATTAGAGAAAAAAATCCAAAATCCAAAATCCAAAAACAAAAATAGAGAAATAGTATAAAATAAAAATGCAAAGTGTTGAGTGATGAGTTTGAGAGTACTGAGGCGAAATCATTAGTTTATTTTACTAATTTATTATGACAAAAGAAGATATGTAGGATGGTTGAGTCCCCGAGTGGATCAAACCCTCTTCTTCCTGTCCAAGCCAGCCGCTGATCTTTTGCCCAGGGTCGGAACCTTGCAAGATTGTGGAAGAAAAAATCATGGCTAAGGCTCCCACTCCCATGAACACTGCATTCGTTTGCACCAACTTCTCTGATCCCTTGTGCGATGCAATCAACTCTCATAGTACTGTGTAATTACCATTCCATATATATATATATAAAAGGTAATCCCTCAATATCCGAGGCATTATTGCAGTCTGTTACACAGCAACCCCAAGCCATCCCGCTGCCACAGTCACTGTGTCGCCAACTGATCCCAGCTCAGCCACAGCAGATCACATGCAGACAAAAAAATAAAATTTGTAATTTGGGGTTATATAAACCCACAACAGATTGTAAACATTGAGCTTTTCCTTATTTTTTTTATTGAAAGCAGTGCAATGTAAAAAGGATTCCCATTTTTTGAAGAATGAAATACAAACAACATTTTTCATTTTTTTTTAATTTGAAACTAGTAAAGAAACCAGAAGGAAATCGTACGAAAAATAAAATGAGAGACCTCACCTCTCGGTCAGAGCCTCACCGATGATCGGGGCTTCGACTGGTCAATCTGAACGGTGAAAGGCTGCAGTGTATCCCCAAGAGCAACATACTCCAAAGGCAGCTCGATCCAATGGCTGACGGACGACATCGGAGGTAGAAACCGGAACGTTCTCGGCCATTTTAATGGAGTTAGACGTTGGTTTTCGCAAAACCGAGGCCAGATTTGAGAGGCCATTTTCATGGCTCTTATTTGTGTTCTTTCACTTTTTATTTTGGCTTAAATATAAAAAAGGAGTCCAATGTATGACTTTGGTTCCAATTTAATGACTAACGTTTATTTTATTCCAGTTTGATGCCTAAGGTTTCATTTTGTAACTTAGTTTGGGTCACGCAGTAACGGACCATTAATTTCGACCGTTAAATGCCACCTGACATTTTTTTAATATTAAAAAATGAATTTTGTAATTAAAATAACAAGAAATTAATTAATTGAAATTGAAAAAAAAAAAAGTTAAAAACCTTTTTAAACTTTTTAGCATTTTTCCTCTCTTCCCCTTCACTACTCTCTTCCTATTCCTTCTCCACCCTTTTTCAGTAAAGCTAATGCCAGAAACGATGGGTTTTATGGAATGCTAAACATTCCTCTTCTCCTAGAAATAAGCACCTTTAATGGCACCATTTTTCTTAAAGATATTTGTATCAGTTTGACCATAACTCTCATCCATGGCTCTTTCTCCTTAAATTATCCTTTACCTTCTCCTCATTCACTTGAAAGAGGAAAAATGAGAGTTTCAA